AAATCATATAAAAATCATAAGAGTAAGAGTATCGAATAAAAAAATTGATATATACTTGAATCAGTGAATCCTCGAAACATGTGACCACTGGGCTCACTTCCTTAGCAAAGGTGAAGATGTTCACAAAGTCATTTGTACCTAATGTATCGAGTATCGTATTAACAACATGCTTTGCGATATCTAGCCTCTGTCCCAACATTGAACCGGATCCATCCATCAGGATAACAATATCCTTCGGACTCGTCGCCGCCTCCATGTACCAAGATCGTAGTCGGCAATCGTACAGATCAACCGGTACGTCCTTGTTCCACTTCGATGCAGGGAATTGACGCATAAAGCCAGTCGAACTGCCAAAGAATTGCCACGACAATGTCGGATCGTTCTTGTAATTGTCACGGAATATCTGATCCAAATTCTCCGACCACTGAATTGCTTTTATCACATCCGGTGCTGTATATCGTGTGTTTTGTTTGTGTGGTGTTTGGTTGTTTAATTGTTTTTTTTTAAGTCGTGTATTTAAAGAAATGGGAAAAATTTGGTAAGAAATTCTAATTAGTTTCTGGTCTTAAACGTGGTTTAGTTTGTTTTCTATAATTGTTTATTTTTTTGGGTTTCTCTTCCGCTGAAGTGCAGGCACAGGTGTTACGGGTGACAGGTGTCTCTCTTGTACTGGTTGGTGGTTGGTGGTGGTTGATTGGTTGGTTAGTTAGTTAGTTTACGTGTGCTTGGTGGCTCAAGTTGGGTGTTGTACGGTTTTTTGGCAAAGCATTCCGCGTGTGTCGGCAGTGGAGCATTCGCATTCTCAGAAGGAACGCGAGCGCGTAGTCAACGTTACACATTGCACTGCCAACGGCCCATTTTAGCCGGAGTCCAGCTCCGGCGGATTATCGGCATTAGGTACAGAGTGGGCGGGCCGGGCGGCACAATGGGTGTTATGACACGTGCCCGCGTTGAAACACACGCATTGACGCAAGCGGTTTGAAAATTGAAAAATAAGGAGGCGCAGCGTACGGCTTATGGCATACTCTTATTTTTTAAATGGCATATCAAAAAAAAAGGATATATATTAACGGTCAAGCGAGCTAGCAAACAGCTAAAGAGCGAGTGAGCGAGCGAGCGAGCGACAGAGATAGAGAGAGAGTTAGTAAGAGCGATTTAGATGCGATTTCTGGGTTAACTACTTTCTGCAGCTAGACAGAGACACAAAGTGTTAGATTAGAATGGTTTTTTTTTTGGTGTTTTACATAAAAGCATTACTTTAAGGCCCTGATTAGGTTTCATTAAATCCATCGAAAATGGCGGATAAGATTCTCAAAAGATTAAGAATATATTTTATAATATTTTGAAAAAACTAGATTGAAAAAACTAAAACAGATTTAAAATACATTCCAAATGCATTTAAATAAGCTAGGTTTTTCAATTATTTCTTCAAGTATTTTAAACATAACCTCAAAAAGGACCTCAAACCGCCATTTTCGATCAAAGAAGAATTCAAAATCATGGCCTCCGACAGAGACAACAACACACACAGGCGACAAGTACAGTTACAGTTACAATTACATATAGTAAAAGAGAGAGAGAGTTAGATATAGAGTCATAGAAAGAGACAGGTGGAGAGCGGAGAGAAGAGATACACGGATTATGATGATGAAGATCATTAATGGGTTCAAACCTCGATCGAACACATTCACCGGCACGTGGACCGAGCTGACGCTGAAGTTAACGGGCGTGTTGTGGAACTCCGGCCGTTTCTCCAGGACCACCACCTTTGGCTGGACGTAGATCAGGGGTTCACCAATGTCCTTGTCCATGTCGGGCGCCGGGGTGGGAATGGGTGGAAAGGGATCGCCGGGCTCCAGCATCTCCTTGGCGTTGTAGTAGGAGAACATCTTGTCCGCCAAATCGTTTTGATGCGACAGAGCCGTATTCTCGGCGGTATCCATAATGCGCTGTTTAAATGTTTTATTAATATTTATTTAGAGGAGTTTCTTAGAGGAGCTACTTACCCGCACGGCGCTGACTTTGAGATCCATCATCATTTCTATTTCCTTGGCCATGGAGTCCACTATGGAGGCGCCATTTCGGGAGACAACTTTGGCTTCCTTGAAGCTCTGTAATTTGTTTAAATTTAAAATTAAAACCTTCAGCTTGGACTAGACTTGTACATAAATTAGCTTGCCCCTAACCCTTAAAATATTTTATGTTGTCTCTCAGAAATACGCATAGCCATGGTATGGTTGGGGAATGGGCAAGGGTAACCACCCCATAAAACCCATTAAGAGCCCCCAGTGGACCCATCGACAAGCACATTTACATGCATAAGGCATATTATAAACAGTTGGCACAAATGCCACTGTAACTCATGTGCAAAACAATTCCATTTGTAAATCCAATTGCGATGCCTAAAAATAATTTACTAGCCAGACTAGTCCCGGGGATAGGGACAGCCAAATCTGACCTCATAGAGGAGACACCAAGGCGGATAGTTTGTACTTTATCATATTTACATAATTGTAGTTTTTGGGAGAAAAACCATTAATATTATAATACACTTTCTGATTTACTTTCAGAAGTTCAATATTAATTAGCTGTAGGCCCAAAAAAGTATGCTTGTGTTTCTATTTTGGAAAACTAATTAGTTTCGCTCTCATTTAATTCCCTCACTTTTTTTGTAATTAGTTTTAATGAGCACCCAAGTGTTTGGGCAAACAATTTTTTCCTAGAGCATTGTTAGTTCGACCTACTGACACAGAGTTGGCCCATCTTGCTTTACATTTTTTATAATTGCCGCTCGGGCAGGCAGCCCGCAGCCCTTAGCCTTTAACCCACATACGGAGCCGAAGTTGACGTCGCTGAGGCTGAGAGACGTCAACAAGGAGCTCACAAAACACAAAAAAAAAAAGAGAAAAAAGGAAAACAGAAGCAAAAACCTGAACTGAAAACATACAAAGCGGCGGAAAAATCAATACAACAAAATGCTGGTGGCTCACCTCTTGCACCTCCTTGCGCCTCGTGATGAAATCGCCCAGATGAAACAGCTCCATGCCCAGTTTGTCGGCCCAAGAATGAACGCTGCAGGTACATACATAGATGCGGAATATGGGTCAGGATTAGGAAATGCCATAACCTCTGGAAAAGATGCAGAAATCTCGAACAAGACTGAAATGACACTCACAGATTGTAGTTGATGTTCTCGGCTGGCTGCAGGTTGACGCACGGCACCAGCCAGACCACGATGGAGAGAAGGCCCATGCAGAGGCGCCACCAGTGGGCTACTGTCCTCGTCCTCGTCGGCCAGGCCATGATGCTCCTCCTGATGATCCTGCTGCTCCTTCTGCTGCTGCTGCTTATGTACTAATTGCTGATGATGGAGGACGATCGGGCGGGAGCGCGACATAAATACCAATCGGATCCGTTTTTTTTATAGCCTACCACCGATCGAAGCACTGGCATTTGCACTTGCTCCACATATCCCGTTAGCTCGGCTTTGGCCACCTGTCCTGGCCATCCGAAAACATATTCCCCCCGGGGTCACAAAATCACTGGATCAATTCAAGAGCCCCTCATTCACGGCCCATTCTCACAGTCCACTTTCACTAACCGTGTGCAAAATTTCATGAATTTCTATAGAACTATGATTCTATTAATAAATATATTTAATTTTTTGAGGAATTTTCTCCGCGAGCCAGCACTTTTTGGTGTGTGTGTGTTGTTGGCCAGCGAAAACTTTTCTCTCTACACTGTCGTGGCCCGTTTTGACGTTTCTGTGACGTTTCTGGGGCAGCTTAAAGCTCCACCATTAGACGCCCCTTGGCTGGAAAGGGACCTCCGGGCTCCCACTTTAATTGCCATTCGCCGCACTCTTCTGGGGCGGCAGTGCGCGTGTCCTGACGTTTGGCGCATCGGCGCCCTGGCTTTGTTTACCTCCGTGGGAGTCCCACAGGTGTTTGTTTACCTGCCACCGCGTCTGCGCTCTGGCCTTGTTTACGTGCAACCTCTGCCAGCTGGGGGCACATCTGTTGCTTCAGCTGGCGCTCGCTGACAGTTGGCCAAACAATAAGCTCGTCCTGGAGAAAGCTGGCTGGGCCAGGAGCTTCTGCTACTTTGGCACTCTTTCCTTTTAAATTTAGTTCTTAGAACGCTCACAAGGGGCTATTTTGATTTTCTTTAAAGTTTTAAATCATTTTATTGTTTGAAATCCATTCAGATCTTTAACACAAAGATACATAGTTATAAACGTATAACTGCAGGCTGTACAATATGTCACTAAGGATAAAGACAGGGATACTTCAATATTAGATTCCGTTCCAAAGTTATAACGTTTTTGTCGAAACCACTGTCTTGCATCCATTAATATATCATAGAAAATGAAAGCAATCAACAAAATAATAAAAGTCGTAAGAAAATGTAATTTTTCAATATTTTTCAAAACTTTTGCAAAACACATTAGCCACTGAGACACTAAGCCACTGTTGCTTTCAGATTTATTGAGTTTGTGTTACCAAGTTTGGCTGAATCGCGATAGCCAGAAGAGGTTATATTTTTTGGTACTCTGCTCCATTTAGCAATAAATTCCTAAACTAAAATTTTTTTCACTGCAAGAAACGTATATTTAGATATTTTTATTTGGTGTGTCGAAGAAATAAATTTCCAAAAATCAGCTGACGGCGTGACCCCTAAAGATTGTTCTAAAAAGGAGGAAAAGAAACTTATATTTAGTTATAAACGCTAAGCCTCAAACGCATAGTTTAAAACGTATGTTTTTTTTTCAAATTCTTCAAGAATTTTAAGAATAGGAATAATAAACATTACCATTGTATTTTTAATTTTTACCTTTAGAAATTCTATCAAAAATAAGTATAAGACATATTCCAGCATACCCTTCAAGTTTCATGACTAAGAAGGGTCACAAAAGCTTTCAAACTTGACCAATAGAGGGTGCCCCGGTGTAAGCCCTATCCTTTAAAGGACCCTTGATCAAATTAAACACCAGAGGCCGCTTTAGTTTATCAATACTTTTTATTGGTATATCGTAAGGCTTACACGTTGCGCAAAGTATGTGACCCCAGCTGACCCAGTCGAAGCACCACCCAAGCCTAGTACTTGTAACCACCGGCCCCACCGCCGCCGCCGCCTCGGGCACCCGGCTGCGGTCCCTGGGGGAACTGGGCCTCGCCCTCGTAGGTGACGTCCGCATGGTAGCCCGTCTTCCAGTCGGCGGTGTAGCGGACGATCTGGGTCCTGCCGTCGGGCATTTGGACGCGGTATTCTCCAGTCACGACATCACCATCGCTGGACGCCTTGTGCGCGTAGTCGTTGGCAGTCTCCGGATCCTGGACAGCGTACTCGAAGTCGTACGGCATGCCGGGCACATGGACATGGTCCTAAAATTAACAAAAAGCATTATTTTTGGTATTTAATATTTTCAAAGAGCAACAAATTCAATTAAATCTGATCTTTGGTATTTAATTTTCAATGGGACATTAGAATTTATCTAGTACTCACATCGGCTGGCTGGCCGGGAATGTTACGGGGCGTGCCAGGTGGTGCAGGTGGGCGGGGTCCGGGCGCAGGCCTGCCAGGTGGGCTGGGTTTCTGAAAATATTAAAAAAAGGGGGACTTAGTTTATCTTACTTAGTTTTTAATGCAATGTTAGTAAATTTTTGTTTTCTTAGCTCCTATTTTGATAGAAGCTGTGCACTCTATACTTTTATTTTTCGCAACGATCTTCCATTCAGTTAAGAGATCTCACAAAAGGTTAACTCGCAGTCATTTTCAACTGCCAAAGCCCTTCACCGACAGATTCAAAATGTTGCCATCATTTTGGGCCGACATTCAGCAACATGACGTGGCAGCATTTATTGAGTTGGGCCACAAACATTCCGGGTGATAAATGTGGCGACAAATCTCTGCTGCCGACTCTGAAGTCGGCCCGGCCTGGTCTGGGCTGGCTGCCTTAACGGCTGAAACGGCTACCAAAATGATGACCGTAATTAGTCCGTTGACTGGGATTCAATTTGTGGTGGTTGGCTTGGGAAAAAAAACGAGAATACATATATAAATAAATGGGGGATACTCACGAAAGGGGTGTTGGGCTCGGCGTAATCGTATCCGTTCTTTGTGGGCGGAAGGTACGCATTGGATCCAGGAGCGATCTGGGCGTAGACATAGGCACTGATGGCAGCGAGGGTTAAGCTCTGGAAGGATATATTATAAGATATAATATGATATTAAAAGCAATTAACTTTATCAATCTGGTATTTGTAAACTCATGCCAGGTTGATATGTCAGAAGATTGTTTAATTTGACAGACTACCGAATTAGTGTGTAATTTTTTGCAGCCATTCTGGCAGCCAGTTAGTGGGACATTAGAGCAATGGCTTAAAGGTTAAATTAAGAGGGCGAACTGAAAAGTGAACGGTTGCAAATGGAAATAGAAGTCGCGATAAGATCGCGTTTGACATTCAGGCGGCGAGGAGCAGGTGCATCTATCTGGGTAACCGAAAAGCGGCTGCTGCAATTTATTTAGAACGTGCCCGAAAGGCGTTTGCTCATCGCCCGCAAAAGGGCATCAAATGGCGGAGGTTAGAGCGAGTGGTTACAGTTGATTTAGCCGCCGCGGTCCGCTCTTTAAACACGGCTAATTGACACATGCACACGACGACGCCGGCGATGATGACGGCAGCTCGTCAACGCAGCCACATTGCAGCCATCCATCAGCGGGCTGACAGCCGCCGGTCAGCTAGTTGCCATAACCACTTGGCCAGCTTCTAGCCAGGGGCTTCGGGCCAACTCTGCCTGTCATGCTTGTATGTAACTTTTTCGCTTTTATCGCTTTTTTCTAGCCAACTTTTCAATTTACATGCTGCAACGGATTGCGGAAGTGCAACAGAAGCCACTAAATTAGTCACAATTTAGAAATATTCTAAGCTATGGGCTTTGGGCATCATTGTTTGTTGATTAGCTCGATGCTAGTTCGATGAGAGTCTCTATAATATTTAATTACACATACGCCATGTGGTCCGAACGTGTAAGTGGAGCCACTTGGGAACGTACTCGGTCAAGGAAAGCGGGATTCTCATAGCCATTATCTATGATGCTATTATCGTGAAAAATATATATAAATATATATAAACATATTCAATTAATATTCAGTGCCTGCCTTCAAAAGCATTTTCCTTGAGATGAAGGCCCGCAAACATTTTTTCACTTTCCTTGCCTACTTCCCCAAAAATTACTTCCTTCCAGGTTTTGTACTCCAAACATTTATCTTTTTTCATCATGCCACGTATATAGCCACCCATCACTTTAATTGAAATTTAAATTAATTAACTTACCGTAAATTAAATTACCGTTAGCCGTTAGCCGGCTTGGTAACTGCTACAAATGCGGCTTGAAGTACAAAATAAAAATAAAAACACAGCGCCTGCAGTTGGGTTTTATAAAAAAAAAACTGCAATAATTTGCGTGTAAATTAAATTAAAGACAAAAGAGCCGCAAAATAAATTGCGGCAACTTGACGACAGCCGAAGAAGTTGGCCAAAAAACACAGTTGGCCAAGACTCTAAGAAAATGGATGGTTCAGAGATGGTGTCTCTTAGACTAACAGTTGCGCTAAAAGGCTGAAGATTGTTAAGTAAGTTAAATTTTAAGGCTTTATAGGCACCATTTATGTAATATTATTAAGTAAGATGGTATAACATCTTTTATAATGACTTTTCTTATTTTTGCCTTGAATATTTTTAACCTGCAACCACGATAAATGAGCCACTTCCATGTGGTCCGGTTCCGAGTTCTGTTCTCATTGTCAGAAAATGTTCATAGGATTGAAGGCCTTTAGTTTTGTGGCTTGGCTTTTCATGGTTTGTGGGCTCCGCGGTTGCCATGCTCTGTGGCCAGCCCGGCCTTGGCTTGGTGTCTGAGCAACAGACATTGATCTTGCCACAGTAGTGCCTGCCCAGTACAAGCCTGTGATTAAGATTGCTGGGCAAGTGCCCGGCACGCAGGCTGGGGCCGAGTCCCCTTGCGAATTCCAGAGGCACGAGCCGGCTCGCATTGAAGCATCATTAATCGCGCACAATCTAATAAATTAACAATTGTTTGCTCTGTCCGGCTTATTATTAAATATCTATTATGCTGTGCTCATGCCGCTGTCTCTTTTAATTACATCAACGGCTTTTTGTTTTTTTTTTGTGCGAATAATTGAATTTATTTGATTAAATCAACAAGTTTCGTTCGAGCATTTCCATAATTAATCACTGAGCATCGAAGTTTGTCGGAAGTCTCCGGCGAAAACATAAAAAATGTTTTTCGAGTTTGCACTTCAGATCTCGACGTGTAGCTTGTGGCCAGTAACCGCCCACTTGCTACTGACCATTCAAGCCGAAGGTTGGCCGGAGATGGCTTACATTAATTACACGTGAGCCGCTTTGGATAAATACGATGATCGACTTGATGATTGCTATTTGTCGGATAAAGTATCTCTAAAGCTTGGTCATTAGGCTAGTAATAACAGCAATTGGATAATCAAATATTTTATTATGATTATTTTTTTAGATGTGAATGCATTGTGCCCAAGGGTTCGCATAGTTGTCACATTATAAATCAGAGTCTCATCCCGCTGGCTGAGTATTTTGCATACATGATATTTATGGAAAAAAATAAAATATCCGAGTGCTCCCCGCTCACATTAGATCACGACCCAGTTAGCGGAGTACGATGCCAAATTGCAGAGCCAAGATCCGCTAAGATGAATTTATGACAATTGCATTTTGAATGCGACTTAAATGGCAAACGCGAGTGTCTGGGGCGCTGGAGGTGATTTATGGAAGCTTAGCATTTAATATGCTAAGCTAGAGCCGATCGCATCGGATCTCGCCTTCTCACATCGGATTGGATGGGATTGCTTTGGATTGGATTGGCTTGGTTTGGTCAAGTCAACCGCTTTATGGCGGCAATAAAAATGTTTACGCCAAAATGTCTTCATAAAAATCTAGACGGAGATGCGGTTGCAGTTGGCTATCTAGTTTTCCAGTTGCATTTATTTTAATTAATTTAATTGGCGGCTGTCTGCGCGAGGAGTTACGATTTCTGTGCCTTTCCCTTGGCATTTTGTTTGATCAGCTTTTGTTATAGCTGGAATCTAATGAGGACTATGTTATTAAGCCATCATCGGGAAGCTAAATAGTTGCCATCCACAGCCATCCAGTATGTATGAATTCTTTGCGGGTTGCATCATTTTTGGAGCGGCAGCACCTCAGACAAAAGCCAGCAGCATTCTGCAACGCCCACATACAAACCCAATGATGATGATGAAGCTTAACAAGGTTTGGTTTTTGGGCTTCCTACTTATGGATGCCATGCTGCTGTCTTAATTTATGGAATTTTCTGCCAGTTTTTGTTGTGTTTATTCAGATATTTTTTATGTGTGTTACCGTATTGCAGCCGCAGCTGTTTCCCAGCAATTACCAAAGTAACAACCGAACAGAAAAAGTCCCCTACATAGATGTTAGATTAACATGCACTTGCAACACACGACACGACTTCGTTCAGTAGAACAACAAACATTTGGTTGACCTTTTCATCGCCATCTCCCATCTTCCATCTGCATCGCGCTCTGTTGCATCGCATGTTGCATGTTGCTGTGTGTGGTGCTCAGTTTTTCGCCTTTTTGCTATTTGCTTTTTACTCTCCTCCAGTTTGGGGCATTGAAATGCAAATTTGGCAAAATAAAAGTTAATGGGCCATGTGAATGGCAAGCCGAACGGCCGATCGCGGGGGGATCTGTCTGCAATGGGAAATGACTTTTATTGCCGGCTCGCAGTTTGTTGTTTCAGTCTTTCGTTGCCAGTGCAACTTGCCAGCCGATTTCAATCAACTCCCCTTATTTGTTTTTTCCCCTCTTTTGTGTGTCTTTTGTGTAACTTGCAATGTACACAACAATTTAGAGTTTTTCTTTAGTTTTTGTTGCACTTTTCCCCGAAGTCACGTGCCTCTTGGCGACAAGGACAATGCCAAAGATCAAAGGTTGGCTGGCAAGCAGCGATCACGACTTGAGCTTCTCCTTGGGGACTCCTGGGTGATAAGTCAATTTAGGTAAAGCCTGTTCCATCACTTGCGCCTTCGTCATCTCGACAAGATTGTAAATTACAAAGCCCCACACCACATTAACCCTATTTAACCCGAAAAGAGCCACACACACACCCACTTCCCTACTTCAAAGCCGCCAGCGGCCCCATAAAGATATTAACCTTTCAAATATCCATAATGGGCGAGAAAAAAACTTATAAATTATATGCTGCGATCGAGTGCTTCAAGTAGTTGTTTATGGCCAGCTACGAATTTGAAAATTATGCTCAACCACAATTACTTAAAATGTTATAAAAAGAGTGACTCAGAAACTAGTTTCCGTTGCTGGTTGGGTGTTTTTATGTTTAAATAATTAATAAATAGTTGGCTAAAAGGCCTAGTTAACTGCCAGCTGTGTTGGGACCAACATCCAGGACTCTGCAATTAAAAACTCTCTCAACTATTTTGGAAATTGCGCATACGCCGCGTTTAACGCTTTGGCTTTGGTTGGGCAATTAGCGGCGGTGGCTTTGGACTCGGATTCAGATTCAGATTCCGAGGAGGCGCAGGCGGAGGCTGGGCTTTTGTAATCATCTGAAATTTCGATTTAATTAGATTACCACACACATACACATACAGAAAAGCAGGAATGGTTGGCTGGTTACCATACCCCTTTATACCCTTGTTACTTTGCAACATCTCATTTTGTGGCGCTGCTGCTGCTGCTGCTGCCGTTGCACTTGCCGCTTGCTCAAGCGTCATTAATTTTTTTGCTATTTGGGTTTTCTTCGCTTGAATTTTTGTATTTTTTGTGTAAGCTACCCCCTTAGCATTCAAGCCATTGCCAAAGACAATAAAAACCGCACAAAGATGCAGAGAATATCTGTAAAACCACAAAGTCCCATGCCTCCCCTCCCAGAGGCAGAAGAATGGGCCGACCCGAGGCTCAATTACCTAAGCATAGATCAGCTTTGAGGCAATGGCAATCGGCAACAAACGAAATCTGCTGGATCTGCCAAATTATTTCAATTAAAATTGAATTTGTAAGGCAAGTCTGAAAAGAAACGAATGGGGGATGCACTTTCCTAGAAGGTAAGAGGGTATTCCAATGGAAATTAGAAAGCCTTTTAGGTTAAACCTAAAGTTAATTACATTTTAACTTTAAGTTATTTGTTACAAATGTAATATCCTTGCCATCCTTACCCCGCCTGGTTGAGCACAAATCCATCATTCATTGGGCAATTGCTCACACTCGAATTGGCCAGCATTCGAGCAGTCGGCCAGCGGCGGCAAAGAGCCAATGAAAGGGTCTTGTTTCGGCCAGGCATGCGATATATTGGCCATAATCAGGCGGCTCTAATCAGAGGCAATGGCAGCATTGACCCCCCCAGACGGTTGCGCCTCGTTGCATGCCCAATTCACGATTCGCATTGGCCAAATTGCAACAATTCAGCATTTACAGAATGCAGAATACAGAATGCCGAATGCAGTTTCGGTTTCGGTTTCAGTTGCCAGCTTTCAGATTTGCCAGCTCATCAGCAACAAAGTCAAATATCAGACTGTGAATATTTTAGGTTTGTCATTTGAAATTCAAAAGCGTGCCCAAAACGTCAGACTTCTTCATCGTTTGGCATGCCGTCCTTTTTGGCGAATTTCTGGTATTTTCGCGTGCGAAAATGAGCAGCTGGATCTTTTGCCATCAATATGCAGCAGCTGCGGCCTTGGGGGTTGCACGGGTGTGTGTCTGATTGGGGGCTAGTGGGTGGCTTTAAAAGGGGGCAGGGACACTGCAGAAATTAACATGTAAAACATGCTCGCCATGATGTTCTCAAAAGCCCGGGCACTCGACTGTCCAGAGGCCATTTGTCTATCGAGTGTCTGGTGCCCACTGGTTTCCTGATTCTATTTTTATTATTTTTGCTTTTTGCACTACTTGGCCTGCTGTTTGGGGCGTGGGCCTGGTCAAAACAGAAATGGCTAAAAACGTCCATTGGGGAAAAGGAATCGCTGGTAAAGAGTCAAAAAGTTACAAGCGGCAAATTACACGCGTCTGGCTGGAGTTCTACACTCTCTTTTTCTGACTCCAGGACACCAGAGTCCTTCTTTCGGTGTCTGGGATACCATTTTCCAGTTATCTGTTTGGTAGACCAGACACGCAAATTGCAGAGAGAGAAAAAACTTATGAATAAATCATGAATTCCTTTCGATTGAAGCGCATTTTGTTAAAAAAACCAACAATTTGAAAAACTATTCAAGAACGGAATTCAAAAACCCACATTTTGAAGGTTCACTTGAAGGCCAGTGAAGGGTATTCTGAACCTGATTCGTTTTTAAAATAAAATTGTTCATTTCCGTGCTTTTTAAAAAACATTATGGAAAGAGCAGGCACCTTTTGTAGATACCAGACAGTATGGACTTATGTCTGGTCTGCCTTGCAGCCGAGTGTCGCACCAACAATTTAACACGCCCCAGTTACAACAAAAAAAAAAAAAAAACAGGGAGCCCCAGTAGATGCCACAGCAGCTCGCGTCTGTTTTATTTTGTTGCCAGCTTGAGGGCGTACCCGGAAAACAGGATTCAAAGCTTTAACAAAGGAGCACAAGTGAAAGTATCCTGGCAGGTCGAAAGTGAGCAGTTGATTGCGGGTTTAAGCTATTAAGACTCTCAAATTTTTACTTGAAAAGCGAGACCCATCATTAAAGAACTTCAGAAAACTACTCCTCCCTGTAGGTGGAGTGGGAGAAAAGGTTTGCAATATACTGCACATATGGGCCAACACTCGAACAGGGCCTAAATGCGGACATGAAAAAAATATTACTAGCACATGTCCCCTGACTTTCCCGAAACAATCAAGGAATATTGTCGCTGCCTAGATTTCGGGGGCGTATGGCATAGTATTTTACGTGGCACTTCCAACAAACAGATGTTGCCAAATATTGTATTTGGATCTGACATCCATATATTAACGAGAGCGGAGTGGAGCACTTAAGTGTCTTTGATTATTTGCAATTTGTTCGATTTGTTCGCCTTGGAGGGGGAGGCCGACCCCATTCGCCACTCGATTCGGATGTGGATTTCGGATGTCGATTCCAAGGATGTTGACAATGATGATGATGATGAGGCTGGCGCGTGAGTGGCAAGTTATGCAATCGTTTTCGTTGCCATTGACGGCAAGTGTGGCTCCGAAGGAGGCGAAGCTGTTTGCCAGGCACTTGAAACTACCAGTTTCCTTGGTAGTCCAAAAAACCATTTAAAGTTTACTAAACAAATGCCTGATGAGCGGACTAAGCGAAAGCCGGACAAGAAAAATGACATTGGAGGGCAAAGTCGGAAAGGACGCACACGCAAAGTGACCATGTCCTGTGCTCTCATCTCACCCACCGACGATAAACAAATTTGACATATAACCAGCTTAACTTGTTGTCCTTTCCACATAGTTTCGTTTTAGCCAAAGGACACGCTTGCCAAATCTCGTATGATTTGTTTTTCCAACTGATTTATGTAGGCTTAGGAGTCATCCTATATTTTTTGTTGTGTTTGTTCGGACTTAAAATAGGAATGTTTTATAAATACTTACAAGCAACATGAACGCCTTGAAGGACATCATTTTGTTGTTTAAGTTTCGATTTCTTGTTCAAACCAATTTCAGTCAAAACGGCAAAAATATTGTATCCACAAGGCTAGGCCGCCTGAAGTTGAAATCGAATTAAATTTATTAGAGAGCTTTTATTTTATGTTTGCTTTTCAAATTTGATTTGCTTTTTTGAATTGATCAAGTGTTTATTGGGATTGATTTTTGCACTGAGTGTATTTTGGATGGGGGGAGTCCTTTAGTCCTCGTTCACAACCTGTCTCACTTTTTATTGTTTGCCGGAAGGGGGGGATGTTCAGGTGGTGTATTCCTGGGCCGGTGGGGGAGACTGTTTTCGAGGAGTTGTGTGTTCAGTTTTCGGTGATTTTCCAAGCCAACCGCACGAAGTACACGAACGTTTTGAATTAGGTTAGACAATGGAGATGCGCCAGCTTTTTATAATAAACGCTGGCCACGTTAACGTCAGCGCTGGCAGCGGCAGTGGCAGTGGCAGAGGCTCCAGCGACTCCAGCAGCGACTGCGGCAGCAACACTCGCGTTGCCAACTGCACCTCAAAAAAAAAAGTGGTTTGAACAATTGAGGCAAGTCTGGGGCCTGACTTCTAGATCATCTGCCTCTGGGCCGCTCGGCTCTCAGAATTGGCCAAGTTAACAGAGAGGGAGAGAGTCGATACTCTCTGGAAATCGAGAGTGTTGAAGTGAAAAATGTTGCAGATCATCGCCACCAAGCGGCAACCTGCAAACAATTGAACACGATCATTACGTTGATGAACAACAACAAGTTGATAAATGAATTTAACGGCCAAGATGATGAAGCTAGTTGTCTCAGACGGATGTAAGACCTCCAGCGAAAAAAACTAAAAACAACTCTGCAACGCCCCAAATGACTTCATTAAATATTGTAGTTGGCCAAAATAAAAAAACAAGACGGCCAAAATTTGATATTTAAGTTTCTGTTTGTTGTTTCTCATTTTTTCTTATGAAGTTCGACCCTCGGGCAATGCAGCTGAAATCGAGACGAAAATGTCACTGGGAATGTCAGATAGTTTCAGTTTTCGGTCCCCAAGATATCAAGAGCCCTTTTTTTTGAAATTTATTCTTTTATTTTTTTTTTTGGTTTTTGTTTGGCTTTTTGGAAAGCAGGCAAGAAGAACCCTATAGAATAAGTTTTTCGGAAAGGCGAGAAAAACGTGATGCGGCTGCCAGTGAAAATTGCACAAGCTGCAAACGTGTTCATGTGGCGTCCCAATTTCCTACAACTACCCAGCTACAAGACCACCACTGCCACCACACCACCTTTTGGCCAAAATGCAATCTATGACGTGAGGCTCATGCCAAAGAGCCCAAAAACCTAAAACTTATCTACCAACTATTGGCCGCCGTTGTTGTTGCACAAGGCTCGACAACACGGACGTGTGTCAAGGGTCTTGTGGTTGGGCTCCTTCCTTCCGTCAGACATCAAAATCCCAAACCAATTAACCTTGGGAATATCATATTTTTTCTCCTCCGAGCTTCGAGATTAAATAACAATTAAAAGCAATCTATTTTTGATGACTGATTTCAAAGTTTCTTCACATTTTTATAGACCACTTTCGAGGTGATGATGTGTGTGCGTGTGTGGAATATTAAAATTAGATATAAAGTTACAGAGAGGGAAAATATTGTTAGGGGCTTTATCTTTTTTTAGTTTTTAAGGGATTGATTGAAGAAGTAAAAATGGGTTGAGAGGCTTGATCATATGATACCCGGTACACTTTTTATCCACTCTGCGATTTTTATACCCTTGCAGAGGGTATTATAATTTTGTCCAAAAGTGTGCAACGCAGTGAAGGAGACATCTCCGACCCTATAAAGTATATATATTCTTGATCAGGATCACCTCCTGAGTTGATATGAGCATGTCCGTCTGTCCGTCTGTCTGTCTGTCTGTTTCTACGCGAACTAGTCTCTCAGTTTTAAAGCTATCGTCTTGAAACTTTGCACACACCCTTCTTTCCTTTGCACGCAGTATATAAGTCGGAACGACCGGGATCGGCCGACTATATCCTATAGCTGCCATATAACTGATTGATCGGAAATGGTATAACTTTGGTGTTTTTAGAGTTAGAGAGTTCAAATTTGACATGAGTGCTATTTTTGGCAAAACATTACGACATGCCAAATTTCATAAGGATCGGCCGACTATATCTTATAGCTGCCATATAACTGAACGATCGGAAATGACCCAACTTTCGTTTTTTTGAAGATAGAAAGCTGAAATTTAATACAGATTCTATTTTTGGTCAGTTGATCCAACGTACCAAATTTCATAAGGATCGGCCGACTATATCCTATAGCTGCCATATAACTGAAAGATCGGAAATGACCCAACTTTCGTGTTTTTGAAGATAGAAAGCTGGAACTTGGTACAGATTAAATTTTGATCCATCCTACCAAATTTCATAAGGATCGGCCAACTATATCCGATGTTTGCGATATATATCCGGTTTTAGCTGCAAGGGTATATAAACTTCGGCTCCGCCCGAAGTTAGCTTTCCTTTCTTGTTATGATTACATTTTGTTGAAAACTTTTGGGTGCTTTGGTTGTTCCTATAAAAAAATTAATTTTATTTTCTAAATATATATGTATATATTCTGTATATTGGATTTTGGAATAGTTAGAAATTAAAATTTAAACAAACCCCCTAATAAACTTCTGCTAAAAATTATTTTTTTTTAAGCTACAGGGTTTTAATATTGCAGGGCCGTTTTAATATTAAAATTAATATATTATGAATGAGAATACATAAAAACAAATCTTTCAATTTATCCCTTTAATTCGTATTTTTCTCAGTGTATCTGGCCAACAACCGAAACATGTGTACCCTATCAAATCACCCATCTTACACCTGCTTCTGCCAGCTTCCCATGGACCTCCATCGATCGTCACTGTACGAAAAGTAATTGAACAACTTTGGTTACTTTTTGGTTACTTTTAACTTTTGATTTCCGTGACACTTGAACGGTGAACATGTATAAGTGCACTACACACAATCATACATATTCACGCACATCTTGGTACTGTCAAAACTGTCTTAACAACATAATACCCCACAATACCAACAATTGGGGGCAACACCGAGTCTCAAGTCCCACACTCCGAGCCACATTGAAATTTCTTTGAGCCGCTATTGAATTTATTAAGTGCATTGGCTGGTAGCTGCGATTACGAAAATGTTTCATCCCAAAAAAATAAAAGTAATTAGAGCAATATGATGGGGCGAATTTTTATATAATTCCAAGTGCAAGTAATATTTCAAAATTTTCTTTTGATTCATTTCAACAATATCCAACTTGACATCAATTGGGCAACATTTGGTGGCCGAAAACTTTTGTTTCGTTGTCATCGCCTTGGCAGCTGTTGCTGCCGTTTGTTGCACTTTTCAGTTTTGTTCAATTTTCGATCATTTTTCAAAATGTCCAAAGCAATAAAGTTTTGCAAATTTCCCGCTTAATTCATCAAGTGGACACTTCAGAGAGCTTCAAGCAAAACGGAAGCAAAACTTACTCAAACAATTCGTGGGCTTCCATACTTCAGATTCTATTTAAATTTTTTTCCTTGCCCCATAGCTGTTGACATTTTAAAGTTGGCTTTGTTGCAGTTTATTGAATTGTTGCAGGCAACAGAAAAATAGAAAAAAATGCAAGAAAAAAAAATTAACATTTAAAAGAACAGACTCAAATTCTGCAACAGAAGAAGCATTTAAAATGATTTTCCTTCGAATTTGTTTTTCCCATTTCGTGCAACATTCAGGCGAATCACCTGTTGATGGTTGCTGCTGCTGCTGGTGCTGTTGCAGGTTATTCTGTTGCTGCACCAAGTAGAACCAAAAGACATTCCACGCCGCGGCAAAGGCGCACCTCTTTCAAGCTAAAAATGAGTGAATTAGAATAGCCAACTATGTAATTGCCGCATTTTATTGCCACCAGCAATGAATGTTGCTGTTGCTGTGGCAGCTACAGCTATTGTTGCAAGCTTGTGTTGTTACAGCTTCTGATGTGGCTGCGCTGGCTTTGGCTGACTTTGGTTGGCTTTGTGGCTTCTTTTGTTGCTGGATTTGGTGTGAGAAGTGGTCGATGTTTTGGCGATCGTTGTTTTTTGTTTTATTTGGGGTCCAGACGCGCCGGATGATTTGCATTTTTTTTCGGCATTTGTTTTGCTATTTATAGAGTAAATGTCTTGGACTTCTGATGGCTTAAATAAGTTTCTGATAGCCTGGCGGTGGAGGCGCATCAAATGTCGTTCGATTTGCTTGGCATTTCCCCGCGATCGTGTCTTTTATTGCGATTTTGATGGAAACTGACAGGCCAGTTACGTGGAGTGCTTGGAAATAGTTCTCAGGTAAAATCCCTTACCCACAGGTGACTACTTTGAGCGATTCTCATTAATAAAGTTGTAGCTTTATGATAATTTTCGCGAGTTGGGAACTTTTTTGTTGCGCTGCATTCATTACTGCAATCTCCTTTGGCACTTGCCCCTGATTTGATTTGATCTCTTTGCCGGAGTTTCCTGTTGATTGCTCTCATTATTCCGCCAAGGAACTGTGATAAGTTTTTCTTCTGGCTAGCGCCGAGCTTTCGCTGTCACTTGCCACACTTGCCACCATTTTTCTTAATGGAAATTTTCATGCGCTTGGCTTTTCTTTAGACAAATTAAGCGAATTTTTTGCACCCGCTTCTGCTACGTCTCTTGCACCTTTCTGCTGTCTCTTTCTGAAGCTGTGCATCCATCTCTCTCTCCGCTCATTGTCATCGTCATCTTTTGCACTTCCGTTCATTGCACCCAAAAAAAAAAAAGAAAGAAATGTGCAAAAAATAATAAGGCTGGCGACGAAGTGGAGGAAAAAGTTGTGGAAAACTTTGCACCTAACATAAATCACATCCTAGCACACGCCCTCCGTCTTTCGACCACGCCCACTTCGAGTCCCGGTTTCTTGTACCCCCCAGATACACATATACGTGTGTATCTGGGCTTGTGTATGTCAGGGCTGCATTCGAATTTGCATATTCCAATTTCGCATTTAATCAATTTACACTCACACACCCAGGGCAGAACACACTCTGGGAAACAGTGAAGGAGGTTGCTGAACAATTACCCGCATTGTCTGACATCCTCGCATCATTTATCCTTGTTAATTTTTATTTAGCCAGCTAGAGGGAAATCCCTTTGCTCCGGGTTCTTGAGCGATTGAGCCGTAACCTGGACTGACTTGTTTACGTGTTTAATGTTTTTCTCTGGTCTTGGTCCTGCAAAGGGTGCACTTACAGATACAGCGCTAGGCTCCCTTGGTGGCCAAATGCAAGAAAACAAGCATTGTAGTGCATCGTATTTGGACGGGTTTAACATTAAGTTTAATTGGAATAATCTTACATAATTAAAGGGGCTTTATTTAACATATTAGTGGTAGTGGGTGGATAAGTTTCTTTAAAAATGGAATAAAAATAGTACCAGGTCGCATGAATAATAATATTTTTGTAAAAAATGAATCATACCACTTTAATGCTACTTTTTTTCTTAAAATATATAAAATACTAAAATAATAATCATTTAAAGGATGAGTTCAACAAATATTTAAAAATACTTCAAATGGCTTAACAAAGAAAAAAGTGCTTAACAAAAGTGCATACACGGCGTATGATTAATAAAAATCAATCAGTCGCCTTGTTCACGCCATGTTATAAAAATCAATCATACGCAATCATGTATTACAATTAAACATGTATTAAAATAAATAGTTTTTTTTTTGTGGGAAATACATGGTCGTTTTAAATGAACTTTGATTGAAAAAGCTGGTATTACTTTTGGGAAAGAACAACCTTCCTACCTCTTCCTCATGTAGAAATTAAACCGCAACCAGAAATCAATCCGTGCCAGAATTTGGGCTGCCAAATGTGTTCACACATTTTGATCACCAGCAGATAAATTCGTTTGAACATTTATCAAAAACAGTAGGCGACAGCATTTAGCCAAGTTCTGGCAACGCATTAGCCACGCCACGCCCATAGGCAGAGCCCCTCATCGCTTATCAATTGCAATGTGAGGCGCACCAAGTTGGCTCCATAACTTGCTGCTACCAAAACTGAAATCCAGAAGAAGAAAAAAACTGAAAAGTAAAGAGAAAATCCAAAGCATTTAACTTGCAATGACAGCCCCCTCCGAGACCCACAGCCGTAGAGCCGCAGAGCCTCTGGCAAGCGACTAATGGTCAAAACTTATCGTCAAACTTAAATGGGATTTTATTATCGTCGCCAAAAACTTCAACTCGGCTCGTTCCTCCTGCCTCCCGAGTTCTTGGCCATCTTTTTCGGTTTTTTTTCTTATTATTTTGGGCTTCACATGCAGCCTGAGAATTGGGAATGGGCTTGGTCTCAGAGTTTCGAGAGTCGCGACTCGCGAGGGCGTGGATTCTTCTTTTATTTTGCACTTTTTTGCCACGACTAATGCGCTGATTTATATATAATACCATAATTATAATGCACTTCGTTCTCATGGATTGCCCCACCGAATTCATACCATTTTTGAGGTCACCCCACATAAATCTTGTCAAAATTGTGCATTCTTTTCGACTTTTGTTTTAATTAACTTGCGAATTGCTTAATTGCCAAGTGAATTGAAAAAAATAAAAATAAAACAGACAAAGTCATAACGAGTGCAATGATGTGAGTGATGTGTGTGCATCTCTTGGCCCGGTCGCGATGGCAATTAATGTCAATCAAGTTACCCACCAACTTGGCCAGGCCATCCAAAAAGCCAAAATGTCTTAGAAGGAGAACGTCTCATCTCGATTTTTTTTTGGGTCTTCTGAAAGTGAGTCGGAACTCGAAAAAAACAAATCATTTTCATACCTTTGAATGTCAAAACAATTAAAGTATCGAAAAATTAAAAGCTTAAAAAGATCATGTTCCAAATTGTTTATTGCATAGTCGCTTCAAAAAGTTGATGAATTAATTATGATAATGAGGCGCTCCCTTGCCGAATATTTAACATGAATTTCTGGCAAATAGTTCGTTAAGTTTTTGCAATTAATTCAGCAGAAGGAAGCATTTTTCTGGGGAAACTATGAATACGTTAGGAAGAACCGAAGACTTGTGGCGCTCAGTGTCGGAGCTTGCCACTTAAATTAGTTAATGAGCTCTGCATGAGTTCGTCATGAAAATCCGCACAGCCTTAAAAACACAAAAATGCAAAAGCAAAAAGTAAAAAAAAAGCAGAACAAATACAGAGAATAATGCCAAAAGCAATTTAAAGGTGCGGAGCCGGAAAGTGGCAAGCAAATTGGCCAACAGCGACAGAAACAACCTGAACAACAGAAGTAACTGAGACTCGAATTTGTTTCTACAATTGTTGGCAACATTGAACTTTAAATGGTAGCAGAGGTACCACATGTGATTCCAACCTGTTTCTGCATCTGCGTATCTGTATCTGCGATGACATCGAAACTGGAAGCCAATGGCCCGGACTCTCGGGCCAAGTACGTCACGTTGCCGGGGTGATGATTACAGCCAACAGAGATGATGTTGCCGATGATGATGGGGCATAAAAAAATCATTGCGATCGATTTTCCAACCAGGCAAATTAATTTGTAGAGTACAAGCAATACAAATGGCCAAGAGCTTGATCTGCCAAGCCAGTGCCAGAGCTTAAGAAACACAAGCAACACCTTGACCTTCGTCCGATGATAAATGGATAAGTGGATGGGCGAAGATCGCAAGAAGAAATTTTGCTACAATTTTAATTAAAGCCAAACAAGAGCCATAGAGCAATAATAACAATAACCGAAACGGAGCCACAAAAAAATGAGACTGAAATCTGAAATCCGACATCCGAAAAAGGCCAAGCGGAAGCGAAAGGTCACTTGGAAAGGCTTGAATAATTGCTCAGGTTGTGCGTTAAACGCACAATAACGAACATTTAAAAGTCAATTATGGACGAAAGGCAAACGGAACGAACGTCGAGCTCATCTGCCAATTCGAAGGTTTCATCTCGAATTTTACACGCTGCCTTGTGGAAAGTTGCCTCAATTTGTCAGAGGCCTCCTGCCGTCCAGTCCGGTCGTCCGGTCGTCCGGCGACTGCCGCCTGCCAATGTTGTAAGTAATTTATTGATTTCACTTTATTGCACATCGATTAAACACATTGGTTGGCATTGTTTGCATGCATTATTGCATTGGTTTCTTAATTTAAATTTGCATTTTTTATGAGCTTAAACTAATTTGAGCGCTCGCTCAATAACCATAAATGAGATGGAAATAGCTTATATCTAAGTTATAGTTTCAACAAGAACAGTGATGACAGGGCCGAAAGGTCGAAAGGTAACTATCCTGGCTTAGACTCTAGATTGCACATTAGGTCGCTTTTGAACACAACATCTGACTCAGTGCTTGGCGCCGCTCTCGAAGCTGACATCCGCGTGGAAGCCCGAGTCGTCGGCGTGGTATATCACGTTCTGGATCCGTCCGTCCGGCAATAAAATGTGGTACTGGCCGCGTGTCACGCCGTGCAAGTCCCGGTTTTGCTTGTGGCCAAAATCGTTGCCGGTATGGAAATCACGTATGCGATAACCGAACGCATACTTTGAGGCATACTCATGCAGCTGCAACGAAATACCCGGAGGCGGATTTCAAAGTTGGTAAATAAGTTAGTCGTATATATTATCGTTATATTGTTTGCTAAACCGATATCGGATTTTGGGGCGTAGCACCCCATATTGCCATCTGGCCACCCAGACACCCACTCCCCCGCCCATATGCATATTTTCTGGCGCCGAGAATTCGTGCGCATGCTGAAAAGTATGCGTTGCAAAATGCATTAAGCACACTGTCATGTACAGTGAAGACAGAAGGCGGCGACAACTGGAAAATGCAATGTTGCATTGCCAGAAGACACTTGCAGATAAACTCAAAATGAAAATCTACAATTTGTTTTGGTTAAATAGGGGATGCTCTAGGTATTGCTAGTTCACTACAGGGGGTTTCTTGAGAATTTTGGGGAAATGTGCATCTTGTCTTTGGTGGGAATCTTAGAACTTAGTTGAGTTTACTCTTTATATAAGGTAATTTGGTTTAGCTAATATTATAAGCTAATAGTTTCAACTATAACCAGGTAATGGAGAAAAGATAATCTAAATTCTGGGGATTTTATAATAAATAAAATAAAAGAAATGATTCATTTTCTTTCTAAATTTCTTTACAGATTGGAGCAAGACAGGCTTGAAATTAGTATACAATTTATGACCCATTCAAGCCATTAAAAAAGAATGATAAATATTGAAAAAAGGAACCTTAAAACTAGATCTATTTCCCCTTAAAAATTAATTAAAATCTTATTTCCCAATAAGTCTATTACTTTCCCAATAAGTGTCTTCCAATATGTCTATCCCCCAAAATCAAGGCAATCGAGTGTAAATGTTTCGGCAAAGGCAGAGTATCTGATGATGATTGGACAGTGGATTGGCGGAAGTGTGAGGCAGGGGAATCGGTCCAAAAAAGGGGGCCAAAACAAAGCAGTGACGGTGACTTGGAGGGGTCGCCAGCCCTTTCCGCCTGTCTGTCTGTCACTCGCACGGCTCAGTTTGTTATGCATGCGATTGTAAATTGTATCGAGGCAGGAGGCGCGTGCGTAATGAAATTTGCAACAATATATGGTACAAGAGGAGCTTTTTCTTTACAAACATATATGCGTATGTTTATATCCAACAATACCACCCCGGCCTCGGACAAATCCCAAGCCCCCTGATCAGTTACCCCCATCTCACCCAAAATTCAAATGTGACATTCTGTATGCAGCGTAGATTTCGTTTTGTTGTGTCGTGAACAATTTTGGTTTTGCCTTTTTATTGTAAGTATTTCGCAGTGAAATGAAAAATAAAATAAAATAAGTGGAATTCTGGGGAAAGCATGCCGGGATGTGAGTGTGTGGGTCCTGGGTGTGCGTTTCCGTTTCCGCTCATTCAAATGTTCAGGATCTCGTTGCCGACGCTTTCGACGACAATTGTTGGCAACTTTCGCTACATGTTTTGGGCTGCTTTTGCGGTTTTTATGGCCTGGCCCGAAGATTTGTGTCGGGAGTGGGGGCGTGGCAAACTTTTTGATATGTTAATGAGTTGTAAATTAAGTTTAATTAAGTTACATTGTTGACTAGATTTCACTTTGCCGAAGGGAAATGTTATTCCGTGTGACAGAACAAAAGTTTTCGGCAAGCTTTAGAAAATTTATAGACCTGGCGCGGGTGGTGTCGGCTTCTTTTGATTACAGCCCTGATTGACATTTGTTTTACCAAGTTTTCCAAGCCAGGCCCAGTAAGAAGTCCTTTGCCAGGATGAAAATCAATTTAATTTCCTCCCAGCGTTAATCATAATTAATAAATTCTTTGCTCCAGCAATTTGCCAACATTTGCACTTAATTTCTTCTTTCTCCATTCACTAATGAAATGCAAAAAATATTTCTGCATTGTTCCGAGGGTGGTGTAGGGAGTCCTTCATTAACAGCGTGGTTATAGAAAAAAATGTTAATAGATTGCAACATTTTACCTACTGCCCCCTCCTCTCTGGAAAGCATATATCAAGGGAAAAAATATAGAAAGAGAATTCAAATAAACCGCAATCGTGGGGGGAATATGCAAATTTTTCAAGGATGGTGGCTGTGCAGACAAGATGTAAAAATTTACTGCAAGGCTCTGCAGTTTGGAATTTCATTACAACTTGATTTGATTAAAGTGCACATAATTACAATGCAGATTCCGGGAAATGTTTGTACTGAAAATATCGAGAGTCGCCTCCAGGGCCAGTCAGGCCTGGTGGAATCCCGAATCTGATCACGTGCCATATTGAACAGGACCTGAGCCGGACTACCGTGAGTCCCGATGACGTGGCCATTTTTTGTGGCCCGTCGCCATTGGATTTGGACTTGGATGGATGGATAAATAAGATGGATGTCAATAGATAAAAGCCTGGCCAAATATGACAAAAGTGCTTCTCGAAAGGCACTTTTTTATTTTTGCATTTAAGGCATTTTCGCCAGGACATTGGCTTTCAGCGGATTGTGAAGCGAGTCGAGTGCAAAATGCAATTTGAGGCAAGGAGTACGTGAGTTCGTTTAGTTGTGAGGAGGAAGCGATCCGATGGCCGAACTATGTCCGAATTGGCATGCCGTCCAGCTCACAACTTTCTTTTCATTGCTAAAAGCAATAAGCCCGAGGGGGGCACACAACTCCTCTGGTAACTTAATGCGAAAATTCCCCAGAACCCTCCCGGCCACTCTCGGCCCAGCGGAAGCTTCTTGAGGGGGCTTGTGGGCGTAACGAGCAATGCCTTTGACATTGGACGTCCAAGGCGTTGGTGTTGGCTGACTTTTATTTCTTTTAATTTGCATGTAATCAGCATTGTTTTCAACGCCCCGTCCCTCCAGCCACTCCGCTTCCCTTTGGCTTTGTCATCTCATCCGCGCTCATTAAAATGTTTTTGCCTTTTGTTTAGCCCGCGGTGGTGGCGGTGGCGGTGTTGGCCTGGCCTTAACCCTATTCTCCTCAAACTGCACGCCCTTCCCTACACCTTGCCACAGCCCTTGTGGTTAACCCCTGCGGCTAGCCGAGGGGGTCAGGATGTTCATTAACTGCGGAGGGGCGAGTCTCCAATCATAGCTCGACTTGATTTTGTTGTGATTTTCCACATAATTCGATTTGTGCCGGGCTGTCATATTTCTGCGGTTCAAATGTCAAGGAAGAGTTGATCATTTGTGGTTTGCCAAGGTACATAGTCTTTAAAAGAGTTCATAAAGTGATTCTTTACACATTCATGCCTTAAATCTTAAACTTTAGATTTTTTTAAAATTAAATTTCCACTCCAGACTCTCTCACTCTTAAGCCCGTTCTTAGCCATTCAAATCGCTGCATTAGCTACCCTCTTCAATTAGCTCATGATTTGCACTCAGCCGTAAAGGATTCAGGATTCCGAAGTCCGGACTCCCTTGCCCGCCGGTGCCATAACACTAATCCTTGTTGGGTAACTAAAGCTGGCATACCATGCCCCTCAAACCATGCCTCGATTCCAGTTCCAGATGCCTTTGCCCAGTGTGTTGCGTTTATTATTCACACAATTCGTTTAAGCGCTGCAAACACCTCGTACCGAAACCCAAAAACCTCAAGGGACACCCAGCCAGAGATGCTGCAGAAGTGGCAAAGGGGGCTGGGCAGGCTTCCACTGGTGCTGTGGAAGGAGGCAGGCTTATGTGGCAGCTGCAGCTGCATGCTCATTTAAAATTGAACAAGAGTTGGGAGAGCTGGCGATGGTCAGCAGCCGAGTCGAGGCAAATCGCATTTAAATGGAAATAAATGTTGTGTCCAAACAATTTACAAAAACCAATTTTACAATGTAATGCGTTCAGAGCTTCACTTTCATGTGTGGGCGTCCATGGGGCGGCAGGGTGCGGCTGGGTGGGCGTGTTTTTGGGAGAAAGGGAGACTCTGGCAGGCGTGTGAATCCCCTTGAAGTGGAACGTGTTCAACAGCTTTCGTCAGGCAAATGAATGTCCTGGGCTCGTTGATGCCACACGGCAGCCATTGACACAATTGAAGGTGCACATCAAAAAAATATTACGAGATTTATAAATGACGATATTAGATGGAAAAGTCTAGTACATCTCAATATATAAATTAACCTTTTAATAACTATTTTGTTATGAATTATTTAATTTTTTTTTATGACAAACTTTTTGGTTTCAGTGTATGAAACTTTTGGCCACGCAATTATGACAGCCCTAGAGGAGCAGTTTCGAAAAAGAGCAGTGCGATGATTAGAGGAACGGACCCTGGACCAGCGGACCTCCTACGAAAATTGTTGTATAATTTACAGGAGAGTGCCGGAAAATGCGCTGGCAAAAGTGGAAAGTGGGTAAAAATTTTAAATGCAACCGCCAAGACCCCATGCCACCCACACTTTTTATGGCTCGCTTGTTAGCAATTTTCGTTTCAGAGCTTGGCCAGGCATCTCTAACCAAAATTGAGTTATCAGTTTGTTGGCTCTGCTCTCGGGCTGATTGCGTGACAGCTGCTGCTACTTCTACTCCCGGCATCGGGTCTTGGTCCTGCTGGGTTGGGGTGCTCCTACACTTTCGTCCCGGCTAGTCGGACCTGCACAAAAAATCCATCTAACGAAATGGCAGAGCAGCAAGAAAAATGTCAAACTACGTGATTTTTATGCGAATGTGACTGTCAATACGCTGCAAACATCATTGGAATAGGAATAGGAATACGAATGGCAATACGAATAGGAATAGGAATACGACCAGGACCAGGACCAGGATGAGCAGATACCCTGCCACATACTACCACTTTTTTCTGTCGTCTCGCTTTTTTTCCAGCAATATTAGCTGTTGGAAATGGGGGCTTGGGTGGATGTGGTTTATTATGGATAGCGAATGAAGTGAAGCTAATTTAAAGTCAACCATCGGGTCAGATGTGCTGAGGCAGCACCCCCACCACCACCAGCAGGGAAATCCACACTCCTGTCAACACACATATTTTTCTACTCGCTTGCAAATTTTCTTAAATTTTAAAATAGAATAAGTGAAAATCCATAAATTGCACGGCAGGAAAGTCAAAACACATTAGCAACACATGCCCCAGAGGCTCGGGATGGTGGGGAGGCGCAACCTTTTAGGCCATAAAAGCTGCTCGAGGAACCCTTGGTCCTTGGGTCCAAGTCCTAGTGATTTTCAATGCCGGAACGAAGAACTTACAGTCCCCAAAACATATGTTCGAGGGCTCCATTAAATGAAACTTAAATCCCGGGCAGCCTCTTTTCAACACTTGCCCCAAAAAAACAAATATATATGTACGGTGTGGCGCCCAAGCCCATTTTTGGCCAAATAGTGAAGGGGAAGGGCTAAGAAAACAAGGGGGCGGAGGAGGGAAAAGGGTTGAAATAAAAATGAAATTAAAATATGTGAGTGGGAACCCAAAAATATTGCACCTGCAGATGGCAACCAAGCACACAAATAAAAGCAAGCCAGGTACAGTGAGGCATCGCTTGTGGGGGATGGGCTTTTGTAGAGGCTTTAGTGGAATAACAACCAAAAACTAAATGGTTTTTAAACTAAGTTTTACCCAAAAGATTTCTAGCTGAGGTATCCTTTATACCTATACTTGACTGTCTGGATTCTTCCGGACTGAGTGACGACCATTACCAACCATTTCGACCACAATAAAATGACAAATGCCCGAAAAATCAGACCATGTTCGCCCACGTTAGAAAGAGCAGCACCAGGAACAGGACAGCCGGAGCAGGAACAGGACCAAAAGGAGCCAGAGCCGGAGTCGGGGCAGGAGGCGGTGGGTAGCAGCAGATGCCGTCAAACAAGTCCCATGACGAGCATTGCAACGGCATGTTGGGCCCCCATTTGGGCGGATTTTCGACGCCCCTCATCCCTCTCCCGGCTAGAAGAGCGGCCATAACCTCCACCTAAACCTAAACTTGAGCCTAACAAGTGTCGTTTGCCTGTCAGAGTTGAACGGACCACGGACATCAGACTGAGGACCAGGCGAACAATGTCCTGCATCCTGGTAGCCTGCTCTCACCCCCCATCAGGACCATCAGGCGTCGCTTTTAAGGGGGGGGGACTTAACAAACCAGACCGAAGCAGGGGGGGAGGCTTAGTCCGATGACGACAACTCCGACAGGAACAAGGCAAAAGCCTATTAAAAATCATGCTAAACGGCAGTAAAACAATGTGTGCTTCAGCACCAGCTTCCGACCAGGCTCTCTCCCTGTTCTGGCCATTTCCAGTTTCTCCAACTGGCTCCTTGTTTACTGGACTGGTTGGCTGGTTGGTGGGCTGATCTGATCCTGGCTGGCGTTGTTGCATTCCGGAAAACGAGCTTAATGCGCATTAACGCAAAAGTCGGATGCTCGGATACTTGACCGGGGAGATGCCAGCTATCTGGCCAGCTCCTACCGCCCATTGCAATTCGGTGACGCCAATAAATAAAATGTAATCAGCTTTTCACCATTCGCCTTTGGTGCTGTCTCTCGTTTTAGAATCGAATAAAAAACGAGACACTTTGCCTCAAATCGAAAACAATTTTAAGGCGATTGACGGGGTGAATGGTAGAATGGCTGTTCTTGTTATTGGGAAATAAAGTTGTTTTCCTCTTAAATACAAAGTCTTCTACAAAACATCAATGATATTAAAAAAAAAACTGGAAAGGGTATCAAAGAAATGGAATGCGAAGGACACTTTTTGGTAAGTTACCACTACTAGGTGGTCCAGAACTCCTCGCAAGTCCCTTAAGATCTCTACAAGTCCTTGGGTTATACAACTAACCCCAGCCCTTCCCTAAAACCGCATCAGGTACTCCTTGAAACTAAAAATCTGACAGCTTGTAAATGAGGGAGTTTGAAATATCCAGTATAATTTTATTCGTACGCCGGTAAAGAACAGAGTTCGTTTGAAAAAGTCCCCAGAAAAAATTTACCGTCTACTTTTTTTTTTTTTTATTTTTTTTCGTTTGTACTTTACTGACTAAGCTCTTTGGTAAAAATATAAATTTTTATAAGTCTATCAGACGGACTTGTTTTATCTCAAAATTTATAAGTTCGAAGTATACGTGTAAAAAAATTGTATTTCGTCTCAAAATTGGTAATACCGCGTTTTAATAAAATAACAAAGCGTTGAAGCTTCGATTTCCAAACACCAAAAGTCAATTATAAAAAGCCAATAGCCACAAAACCTCAACTAGCTGCAGAATGAAGTCGGTGCGTCAGTTCCAGTGCTTTTTGAAGACAATGCGTGTTCTGTGCCGGCCCCTCAACCTGGGAAAGATCGGCGTACGTTTTACAAGCGGCTGTGGCGAGAAGTCAGCCAACGCAAAGGGCGTTGTGGTGGGCCTCTATCAAAAGGAGGGGGACAAGGACCCAAAGCTCACCCCGGCCGGCCAAAAGATCGACAACCGAAACGACGGGAAGCTGATGAAGCTGATCTGCGAGACCAAGCTGGACGGCCGAGTTGGTCGCGGCAAGGTCTTCAGCAACATCGACAGTGATTTTGCGTCGGTGGCCGTTGTGGGCGTCGGCCTCGAAGGCATCGGCTTCAACGAGCTGGAGATGATTGACGAAGGCATGGAGTTTGTGCGCGTGGCGGCCGGAGTAGGAGCCCGGTCGCTGCAGTACCAGGGCATTGGCATGGTCTCGGTTGACGGCATGGACTACGCGGAGCAGGCGGCCGAAGGTGCCCAGCTGGCCGTCTGGCGGTTTCCCGACAACCAAAAGGTCAAGCCCATGGTGCCCCAACTGGAGTTATTCGATTCGTCCGACAACGAGGGCTGGACTCGTGGCATCTTCAAGGCTGAGGCCCAGAACCTGGCCCGTCGCGTCAGCGATGCTCCCGCCAACTGCATGACGCCCACCCTGTTCGCCCAGGCCACCGTTGACGCCCTGTGCCCGTGCGGCATCAGTGTCGAGGTACGCACCATGGACTGGATCGAGACGCAGCGATTGAACGCCTTCCTGATGATCGCCAAGGGCAGTTGCGAGCCGCCAGTCTTCCTCGAGATCAGCTACTGCGGTACCGTACCCGAGGACAAGCCCATCCTGTTCGTGGGCAAGGGCATAACCTTCAACTCCGGCGCCATCAACCTGCGACCTTGCGAGGGTATGGACGAGTACCGTGCTTCCATGTCCGGCGCTGCCGCCGTGGTGGCCATGATGCGCTGCGTCGCCGCCCTGTCCCTGCCCATCAACGTCACCTGCGTCATCCCCCTGTGCGAAAACATGCCCTCAGGAATGTCAGCGAAGCCTGGCGATGTGGTCACCCTTCTTAACGGCAAAACAATGTCCGTGCGTGACCTAGACAAGGCCGGCGTGGTGGTGCTAGCCGATGCCCTGCTGTACGGCCAGAAGACTTATACGCCCCGCCTGGTCGTGGATATAGCCACACTCAATAACGGCACCAAGAAGGCCTTTGGTGGCGGTGCCACTGGAATCTTCTCCAACTCCCACTACATCTGGAAGCAGTTCCAGCGCGCTGGTGCCATCTCCGGGGATCGGGTGTGGCGTCTCCCCCTGTGGCACTACTACAAAAAGCAGGTCACTGACAACCGTTCCTTCGATCTGAGCAACAATGGCCGCGGACTGGCTTCATCCTGCCTGGCGGCTGCCATTCTTCATGAGTTGGTGCCCTGCCTGGATTGGGCCCATCTGGATACCCGCGGCACAGGTCTTTTAACAAAGTATGGTCTGGTGCCCTATCTGACCGAGAAGCGAATGACCGGACGTCCCACGCGCACCCTGGTGCAGTTTGTCTACCAAATAGCATGTCCCGAGATGAAGTGAGAGTAGCACTCGTGATGGTTGCACCAAGGCAGCCAAGATGTTTTACGAGTAGTTTGTATATTTCATTTTTTATAAGTGCAATATAAGCGCGGCGTATTAGTATTACTGGGATCTTATTACTTAAATGGGCCATTGGATAAAAGCCGAGCTAGGCTCAGAAAGAAACTTCAGAAAGTGAAACACAATATTTCCAACTTCCAGATAACTTGAGAGCTTTAAGTTATTAATAATGACATTTAACAAATATTCGCTTTTAAAAAAGTGATACTTTGTTGCAAGTTTCTATCCTTTATCCTTCGTAAGTCCCTTTAATTTCCCCGCCCCAGGTATGTCTGGTCGCTACCAGCCAAACACACACCCCTCGACTATCTTGAAGATACTTTCCTGTGGCCTTTTGCCTGGCTGAGCACAAAGAACCGCCGTTTCCTTGCGGTTCGCTAAAGAAATACAGATAAATTAAATGCAGGACTCCTCCAGCCACCCCCGCGAAGGTGAAAAACTTTTTCCAGCCAGCCAGGGCCATGGCCATGGGAGGAAAAAAATGTTAATTCCAAGACGCATGGAGTGCAGCACTTTCTCGGCACACGCTCCAAGTGCTTGTGGTTAGCCAAATGAATCTATATCGAATTGAATCGCATCGGCACTGCTGCCATGCGACTATATATCTATATCAATTGGTCCAGACAGCGCCCCAAAATGCACACACAGACCGTCATCCAAGCCATCCCCGCCATCGCCCCATCCGGCTGCTGGATGGGTGAAGTATAGTAATGAAAAGCGAAGTCGTTTGCATCGCTTTTGTGGCTGTGTTGCCAGGTAGCAGACGATATGGCACAAGGGTCTTCAGACACTCAATATATACACGTGTATGTATAAGGATATATATAGTATGTACAGATGCACACAAGGAGGAGGGGGGAGCGTGCTCGGGGCCTGGCTAACGACATTGAAAATGCTTGTCGAACTTGAAAATTATTCGATTAAGTGCATTACCGGCGAGACATGGATCGGCAATCAAACTGAATTGCACACAGACTAGCCAAGTTTTCGGGTGGGGTGAGGCGGTGCAGGCGGGGCAGTGCCAAAGGACCAAAAGGGGGAAAGTCCTGCTGCAGGGTATTCTATTGTTGTGACTGCGGCAGTGTCGTGCAGTGTCTACTGCATCCACGTCCCGGCTTGTTTGAGTTTGTACTTGTGCTTGTGATTGTGATTGTGGCAACAGCCCCCTAGTCCCACTCCCTCTTCTGCCACGAAAACTCCCCCCTTATTTATGTTGATTGTGTTTTTGCCTACGCCAATGCCAATCAATGGGGCACGCTTTCGGGAGCAGCGGGCCTTCTGTGGGGCGCCCGAAGGTATGCTTTAATTTAAGTGCATATTCCGCCCCCGCCGCCCGATTGCGGCAGGAACACTTTCCAATATTAACCGACAGTATTGATTGAATAAGATGGACCATTGATTGGGTGAAAGGACTATCTTTACTTTCTGTATATAGTTGTCCACTTTAGCCAGTGCCCACTGCACTGCCCATTAAAACGTGATTAAATCTACGATTCCCAAAAACTCACCGACTTATCGTCCTGGTCGTGCACAAAGTGGAATCCTTTCACACCCTTGTCGGCATCCAGCTCGGCCGGCAGGACGGTGGCCACCAGATTGTGGCTGGGCTCGTGCAGGTGGTGCTGATGCGGATTGGGATGCAGCGTGGCCACCGTGGGATGGTGCACCACATGCTCCACCGTGGTCACAGGCTCCTCCGTATCGGCCACGCCCTCATAGCCGTTGGACAGGCCATGGCCATGGGTGTAGTCGATGTACGAGCTGGGCGTAGGCAGCTTGGTTGGCACGGCCGGTAACTCCTTCACGTCGTTGTTTCCCGGCTCGATGATGGGCACGTACTGCTTAGTCTTGGCCATGCCGATCAGTCGTCCCGGCTGAACGCCCAAGGAGCCATGATCCTGCAGAAGAGTCTTCAAAGTGGGTGCCACCGACACTGCAGGGGCCTGCACCGCTGGATGGAAGAGGATGGGGGCAGTGCTGTCCTGGGGACGGGGATCCAGCAACTGCTTGCCCTGCCGCTGCATCTTGGCCTGCATCTCCTTGGCAAGGAGGTAGGTTAGTCCGTGGATTTGGTCATCCGGCGACTTGCCTATCAGCGTGGACAGTTGCTGGAACTCCGGCAGTTGCTTGTAGTGCTCTTTGATGGTGTCAGCCGGGGCGTGGTACTCGATCTTGATCAGGGGAGAGGCCTCCTGTTGGATTTCGTACTGATATGGCTCCTGGCTGGCGGGCTTTCCGTAAATGGCCGGCACTTCTGACAGCAGAGGATCCGGCTTGGAGGGCCGGAACTGAGGCACTACGACGTCCAGGGATTGCGTGGGCGGTGGCGCCAGCTCGGCTGTGTAGGTGTGATGCACTTCCTCCACCGTGCTGCTGGTAGCCGGAGCATCTTGCACCACAATAGGCTGGGCGATGGTGGGGGCAGGCGCGGCATAAACCGGCTTGTAGACATAACGCAGCTGCTCCACCACGGGCACGGGCTGGATGTGGACTTGCACCGCCGGCGTGGGGGCAGGATCCGTGGGCTTAACGTATTTCACATAATTACCCAAGGGCTTGATACCGTAGGGAACAGACTTGGCCTTGAAGAGCTCGTAGTCGGATTTTTGGGCGGGAAGATACTTGACGTAGGCCTTTCCGCCATGGCCATCTTTCATCAGATGACTGATTACCTTCTGCACTTCGTGGGGGAGGGCGCTCAGGGACTTCTTGGTCTTCAAGTGTCCGGAACTGTGAGGAGCTTCCTTGTAAACATACATCCTTTTGGTCTCCGCCGTAGCCTCCCCCGTTAGTATGTCATTTTCCTCCAATCGGGGCAAGGGCGTGGTGGTCTGGGTCTGGTTCTTGGCCTCCGTTTCCATGGTCAGCAGAGTGGGTGCCTCTGGGAGATGGATTTGCTTTGCAGATCTCTGGGGCAGGGGCTTGGCATCAGCCAGCTCGAATTTTATCATTTGCGGTGGAGGAGCCGATCGCTTAGAGCGCTTAGTCTTCCGGATGCGCACCTGGAAGGACTGCTTTTTGCCCGTCTGAGGCTTCACTTGCTGGCCCAGGGTAGAAGATCTGGTGGCCTGACTCTGGAGATCCAAGGTGCGGGCTTTCTTGATCAGCTGGGCTGTCAGGGCATCTGGTTCCCGGGCATCCGTCTCCTCAAAGGGAATCATTTGGACCTTAAACTCAGCCGGCTGCTGTCCAGGGAATGTGGATCGTCTTTGGCGGCGAGGTTTTCGGTTTCGAGCACTCTTAACAGTGGTGCTACTAGCCGCTGGTGGTTCCTGGGTGGTGATACTCAAGACCTTTGGAGGATTCTCCTTCAGTGCCCTGGCATGGTATTGTCGCAGGATCTGTTTCAATTCGGGGCTTGGTTCCACAGCATCGGCAACCTCGAAGCGCAGCATCCTTGGAGCGGTGGGCAGTTCCCTTTGCTCTCGTTTCATCCTGGAATGGGATTTCTCCGCCAGTTGCTCGTTGTATTGATTAAAGGCCTCCAGGTAGCTGTCCTCCGTGGGATTGTCGATGTGCCGCATGCTGCGCATGTTCCGCTGATCGAAGTAGCGCTGCATGTCCTGCAAGTAATTTTTGTTTATGGGGTTATATTTTCTAAGAGTTTTGGATTGGTTATCCTTACCTCATAACTGGAGAAGGTTTCCAAAGATGGCAATCGGTGCCAGGTATCCGTGGGTTGAGCAGAAGTAAGAATTATAGTCAGAGACCATAGCTGAAATAATCAGAGAAAAGATATTATTCAAAATACATTTTTTACAATATTTTTTTTGAGAGCCAATAATTAAAAATACCGATTATCTTATACACTATACAACCGGTTCTTGAAGGGAGCTCTACAAAATTTGGTTGGTTAAATCTTCAGCAATACCCATTAAATTCCTAAAAGACCCATTTTGATTGCATTTTGTTAAAAAATATTTTATGGTAAATTGTTGTATTTTTGTATGGTTTTTATTTAGGGCATAAGAAATAGCCTAATCCGTCTAAACCTAAATATAAATTATTCTGAATTGAAAACTGAAAAAGTTTGAAAAACGATTTAACGAATAATTTGAATATTTTAGAATACCGTTGAATAAAAATTTGATATCTTAGAAAAGCTATTTCTCTACTAATGTACGATAGATTGATTTTGCACCAATCGGCCTTATAGATTTCCTTTTTCTAGAGAATATTGGCAAATTTACTGATGTTCATTTTGAAAAGTTGAATAGTTTTGGGGCTTCTGTGTTATCCGATCCTGAAGCTAAATAGTTCATTCGGCGATTTGAAAATTCATAATCTTAGTTTCAAATATTTTAAACCGTTTATTGTCCAATATTTGCAATGAACAAGTAAGGAAAGATAGAGATCTCAAAACAGCCTTGCGATCAAAGTGGTTTGATAATTTCCAATTTTATGAATGCACAAAAAACTCATAAATCCGAGAGGGTGAACCAACTTTGGTTTACATATGCAATGCCGTCCAAACCCATAAATAAGCCGAATATGTCCACCCGTCCACCTGCATCTTGGTAGCCGCCTGCCCACTTTCACTTTCCAGCAAAGATGTTGCTGCCACATTTGGACGGAAGCTCCAAGCCAGACTGGAACCCGACTCTGGCTTATTCTCAGGTTGGACTTGAAGTAAACAGAAAACGAGTTAAGCACGCGCTGTGTGCAGGTGGGGGCAACTGGGACCAGTGATTCTGCGCGATGGTGCCACGGTGCCACATGGTCTGCTCATTGAGGCAACCACTTTCACGTCAACATGTTGAACTTGGCTTTTATGGCCATTAAACTCATCGATTGGCGATTTCAATTGCTTTTCTGCCACTCTCGATTTACGTAAGACCAATTATGGTATTCGTAGTGGTAATGGTATTGGGTTTGCAATTGCAGTCGACTGGTGCGGTGATGCAACCAATTCCAGCTGTATCATTGGCTTATATTTTGCGATGCACCGCGATAAGAAGTTGCAACGACAGCACCAGGAACTGATCCAAACTTGAATGCAATATAATTCAATATAAACGTGGACGGAATGGCTCAATTTGGGGATCTAGGGCTTATCGTCGGTCGCGCCTCGCCGCTGGCAGCCATTTAACTAAGCCCATCGAGCTAAGCCCAAATGAACTGTCAACGGTCGTTAAAAATGCAACCGCGTAAACATTTAACGGCCGTTAAAACTGCGCCTGAGTGAATTTTTATGAACTTTGCCCCACACACACACGCGCCCTTTGCCAGCGGGCTAAAGGATAGCAAGGACATCAGCCGGATGCCCCCACTTGTGGGCGTTTTTTTCCGCCCACTTGGGCCTAGTAACCTGGCCGACTGAGGCGAAAACTGCACTTTCTGTGCAGTTCAGTATCATTTGGACTGCCCCCCTCGGAAACTGTTATACGGAAAAGCACCCAACTGTAGGTTGCATAAAATTTTATGTGCTTTCTATTTAACACTTTGCCGGATCCAGGATGCCTCCTCCTTCGTCTCCCGGGGAAATGTGTCTTTTCATTTCAGTTTGGGACACGCGCTGGATTCGTTTTAAAATTCAATAGAAAACAGCGATAAAAATTGTTGCTATTTGCGTTTCTGTTTCTGTTTGCTCTGCCGGATTTTATGGCCCTAAAAGTGCTGCGAAAAACTAGTTAACAATTCTTTTACGATCCGCTAAGAGCCAAAGGAATCGTCCTCGCGCACCACTTCAAGGACTCTATCTATCTGCGATGGCATTATAAAAGTTTCTTGTTTTTCGGCATTCGTTTGTTTTGACATTAGATTCAAATTGAAACTTTAATATTTGCTGTGAGAGCTAAAGTTTGATTAAATTACATTTTACTATGGCCCCTTGGTTTTGGGTTTTATATTTATTTACGAGCTGTACTTCCAAGGGAATTGCGTTTCCAAAAATAAATAACAATAAATAAAAAGCTCGGGCTCTAAGAATTTCATTTCTATTGAAAGTTGTATCTTTACGGGGGAATATATTCCTCAGGATTTGGCTTACAATTTGAAAATATCAGAAACCATTTTGCAAATTGATACAAGCTATTAAATGTACATTAAATTTTGAAAGTCCAGAGAGTCCTGTAAAGCTAATGAATCAAACAGCCCAAAGAAGCAATCAATACATCCTTGCTCAGCCCCACAATCCCCACTCCCAAGTGTCCTTTTCATTTCCTTTTTGTTTCGTGTCGAGGCAGGTTGCTTCATTAAATGGTTTCTGTAATTGCTGTTTGGCCACAAGTTTGTATAATTGTTGCCTGCAATATGCGCTTACGGCTTCCTCGACTTGCAGTGTTGTTGCATGCAACAAGGCGGAAAAACGTGGCTCGGAGCAGCAGCCGCACTGGCTTCTAGACCTCGAGGCGGCAGTGTGGGAATTGGCTAAGTCTGTGAGGAAAGAAATTGGAGCAGCAAAAAGGCGCACAGCTTGGGCTAATTGTTGGCAGTACGAGTGGGTGGGTAGGTGCATGGAAGTTACCAACTGCTTGCGGCCGGTGCTGCAGCTGCAACATCGCCAGAGTAAGAACCAGTTTTAGGTCTTCTGTTTTTTCGCATTTGGTCCGGCCAGAAACCCGAAGCAAAGTCAAGTTCAATGCACATAAGAGACCCGACTCGAGTGGGGAGGGTGTGCTTCCTTGGCCACAAGGAAACTTGGCTCAAAAGAAATGCAAGAAATGGCCGCAAACTTTTTCTCTCATCCACTTAAATTGCAAATTTCCAGTTTCGACTACCAGTTGGATATGGATTCCGATTCCTATTGCGATTGCGATGGCGATTCGGTTAGATAACCAAGACGGGGGCCTTTATGAAGTCGAGGTCATAAAATCGGCTTCAATGGCCAAAGAGTTTTCCACACTTTCCATCGCTCAATGCTCTATACCACATGCCGCATGCCATAAGACACCCCAATGAGCCAACAAACAATCAATGTCGGTTGCGTAATGAATTTTTCCAAACAAAATGCCACAAAATGCAATGAAATGCATTTGAAATATTCGCATTCGGTTTATGATTTTTCATGGCTGTTAATTAAATGAGTGGCGGGAAAAGCAGTGTGGAAAATGCTTGGCCAAGACCTCGCCGTTAATGTTTCCTGGCTAATTGAAGTTCAAGTGCCAGCCCATGAACATGAAAATAAATTATTCGCGAAATGTGCGTGGAGGAAAAAAACAAAATGTGTTTAAAAAGCTGGCGGCCATATGGAATGACTGGATCGTCCATTTCCTGGCCAGAAAATCGCTTCAACGGCTGCAAAAATTTTCCCTCGCCCTGAGGCACTGGGCACCGGGAGTGGAAGTGGGGTGTGGGTGTGGCACTGGGAGAAGGTGGTGTCTCTTCCATTGGCGGTTGTTGTTTTCACGCCTCAGTTGCCCCTGCAGTTGTCTGTTATTTATGTTAAAATTTCAGAATGATGAACCTTTGCACTTACCATTAAGGTGGTGCCAGTACCGCAGATAGCCATTTTCCTAGGGCCTGGTCGGGATGTCGGCGGAAGTTCGGCCAAATGAGGCGTCAAGTTGCACGTTGCACGTTGCAAGTAGCACGTTGCGCGTTGCGCGTTGAGTTTTCACGAAAGTGGCAGCTCAATTTGTAATTGTTGTTTAAGTTTTATTATTCTTTCACAACGAATGCTTCTCCTCGAGCTGGTAAGTATTTTTTGCAAGTGTTTTTCTTTCAAAATTTCGACTTTGGTATTTGTTTATTTTTATTCTGAAAATACAACAAAGGAAAGAAATTTTATTTTTTAGCTCTTCACTTTATTTCTAGATTTGATATTTTTTGCACTTTTTCAAAATTTAATTTGTATATCCTTTTCGTGGGAAACACAACCCAAAGTTCAGTATTTCGTTTCAAACTTTGTCTCTGAATTTTGTTTGAACTGGCTCGCTTTTGTCCTTGTTGGTTTCTGATTTCTCATTTATTTAATGCAAGTTTTAATTTAAGTTTTCAGCTGTGCCGTGTTTACTTTTGGCTGGAAAGACTCTTGGAGGGAAAACCGCACGCTTGCGCGCTGCTGCTGCAACTGTGCATCGAATTTTCGCGCCACTTGAGTTTTGTGTGTGTTCGGTGCCTCGCAGTTTTCCCGGCGACAGCCAGTTTTGTGTTTGTTTTTGCTTTTGGCTTTTTAGTTTTCAGTTTTCGCATTTGTTGTTTTTGCTGCTCTCTTGCCATTTTTCCTAGGCCAGCCAGAGTCGTCTTGGCCGGGACTTGTACGGCGGCGGAGGTGGTGTTGGTGGGACTCTTGCATTTGTAATACTACTTATTGGTGGGCATATCGCTAAGCCAGTGATTAAATTTGCAACGCTCAGAAGGAAGTTGCATCTGTTTTGTATGCATTTTATGGGGAAGTGTATTCAAAATTCCCCATTTCCCATTCGCGCTTTGGCCAGATTTTTGTTTGTCTTGAGAGCTGCTTTTTTGGCCATGGCTTTGGCCAAGGCGTCAGCCAGCTTTTGACCATCAACTTGTTGGCCATAGATGACAGAAATTTTAAAGCTTGTACACTTGTGCTTACGCGTATCATGTGCGTGCAGCTCAGGGGGATCAGGCTTAGTGCCCGGCTCCCCGTCATGGTTGTATAATTAATTTATTAATGGCAAGCGAGTGAAATGCACTTCCACGCATTTCCTACAGGCCTCTCAGCCTGCCTCCCAGTTTCCCCCAGATTGATTATGTGATTTATAGGAAGAACCTGGCCGAATGCCAAAACAATCCCACAGCGGCGGCGGGAGGAGCCGAGCCAGGCAGAGATCCATGTGAAAGTTCAACTGCAGATGTTATGCAACAGGCGGTGGCATAAACCGCCGTTGCCACTTCAGCACGCGCTCTTCGACTGTCACGCACGCGCTTCCACGCGATGAAGTATCTGACAGATTGTTTTTATTTTATTGCGGCCCATAAGATATTCCAGCGGTGGCTGTGGCGAGGAGATCCCAGACCTGAGGTCGAACTATCTAACCGAGTGCATCAAACTTGGTCTGATGCCGCGACGATTACCGGATTTTTTGTTATTCGGCTATGATTGTTGGTTACCAAAAAACGAGGCGGAGAAGGAGGGCGGGTCTTGGCACTTTCACATTTGTTTTGGGGGCCTGGGCGGTACAGTGGCTGGTGTTGAAATTGAGTTATTAGAGAAAAGCTTTACAGGAGCGTAGCTTTGGGAGTTAGCTTAGAGAGGGGGTTACTAATACTTTCATATTATGCTCGTTATGTATTTAAAATATTATACCAACCTATTATACACTTAAAACAAGCCCCCCTTTTTCACTTTCTTTCCGACTACACCTTTGTTTTATTTTTCCTTTCGGGCAATGTGCCAACCTCCTCCCGAAAGCCACCACATAATTGCTGTAATCGCGGTGGAGATTCACAATCTCGTAATAAATTCAGACACCGAAGTCTGGCACATCTTCTGGAGAATCCACCCTGCCCTGCATCTGTCTCCAGTCCCTCGTCTGGTGCCCCACCAGATGCGTCGGCAATTGCAGCTGCAATAGGCGGAAATCTCACACCGAAAGTTGCATTGCGGATGCAGCTCCATCGCCACATCTCCATCTGCAGAGTGTGTGGTGCGGAAGTCGAGGTTTAACCAACTAACAAAGTGACTTGGAGCCGCCTGGAATCAGGGGCAACAGTTGCTGGCCAAAAGTGTGTTGACTTGACACTTCCAGCCGCTCATCTTGGGAACTGGTTGCCCCGACGGATCGATCCATCGATCCATCGGCTATCATGTGCCAGTTTCGACAATGCCGAGCCAGCCAATTAATTGCCAATAAATTGTTTTGTTGCTTATAACTTGGACAGTTGGTCATTTGGTTTTGAGGAAATTACCACGCCATTTGGCAGCATCGATTGTGATCGCAGGGGGGGACAGCAAGTGTTTTAATTGACTCGTTCACAGCTTCCTTCATTCACCAGATCAGGATCTCCGGGCCTCCTGGTCGCCAGCGCTGCCTTAATTGTCCGGCACTTCCCGTTTTCGTGGTTTGCTTCCCATCTGGAAACCCATCTCCCATCCCCATGAATCTCAGTCAGGCCGGGAGACCGACTCGACTAGACCAGGCCGAAATCTAATTACGCCATCGCCATTGCCAGCCAGAAAGCCAACGAGCGCAGCAAATTGACAACACAATAAACAGGAGACCACAGCCGAGGGTTCAGAGGTCGGGGGTCTTCGGCTCGGGGCTGGGTGTCACACATGTGCGACAGTTTCTGATTTATGAACACAATTTCCACATTGACAATGAGCGAACTTTCCAGTACTCCAGCACTTCGCCGATAGCTGGCTTCCAAGCAGATGAGTCCCCAGTTGCCGCTCCCCGGGACTCCTTATCCCCAAAAACTGAACTCATGTCCGGGTCAAAGTGATGGCAGGTTTCTAAGCCAATAATAGGACTGTTTTTGGCTGGAAAATGGAATGAGATAGGTAGTAATATGAGAGCTATCATGAGAGGAGAAGAGGCAATACGAGATAAAGTAAGTGAAAATATTTATATTCTTATTACTACTAAAATGGACAATAATGCTTAGAATTATTACCCCACCGACTTTACTTTTATTTAATAAAATTGTAGGATTATCCCTGTATCATACAACCATATAATATCTCTAAATAATACTCCTTCAAAATAAAGTGAGAAAACATATATCTCCTAGTCATAACTACATATAAAGTCACCCTCCCAACTATTTTTAGCCAAAAGACTGGCTAGAAAACGGCCAAAACTACAGCCATCTTGTACTAATATTTGGCTCCTATTTAGGGAAGCTGCTATCTGGGAGCGACAATTCCTCCCGCAACTGTTGGTTTATGAGCGGGTTTGGTAGTTGAGTGGCCCGGGCTCTTCCGGATGCGTCCCACCTTCGGTCTAGGTGAATTATGTTAATTGAGATTCGGTGGCTGATAGCCCCTGAGTGCAGCTGCTGCTCGTCGTTATTCGATTGGATTCCCTTTAAGACATTGACCAGGCCATTTCGGGCCATATTTCAGGGCTTATCTCGGCCCGAAGATGCACATAAAAATCAACCCCAAGCGGCAGGTCGGCATCCAGTGGCTAAGTAGATAAAAGGACGAAAAAGAGTTGTCCTTTCCAAATGCAAAATGGGTAATCTGTGGCCAGGCTACCCCTGAACTGGACCCCCAATCGTATAAATTCTGGCCAGAGTTTTCCTTTATTGTCGGGGAAATAGTTTTCGGATTGTGGAGGCGCTTAAATAAGCCATATAAATGCGTTGCATTTTATTTGTAATTCCCCCATTTTCCTGCTAATGACTCTGTTTGGGGAATCGAAGGGGTTTTCAATCAAAACCCGACGGAGAATGGAGATGGACTGGAAGACGACCCACACGAAGTCAACTGAAAACTCATTTAAGGCTCCATTTCACAATGTGAAAAGGGGCGGCGGGTAGGTGGGTGAGGGCTGTGAGGGTATGGGAGTGGCATGACAATGTCAGAGACTCGTTCGAACGTTGCTGCCTCTTCGAGACAATTTGCCACTTTAATTGCCGCAATTTTTTGCCCATTTTTAAGTCAAATTCACTCTCGACTTGCCTCTGCACCGAACTGGTCTCCGGCTCTGGCTGTGGCCTAGACTGGCCTGGTCTAGTCTCTTGTTTTGCCACATTCTGTTATCGTTGTTGTTGTGGCCAAAAGGGTGCAATTTGTGTGTGTGTCTATGTTGTCTATGTCTATGTGTCGTTCCATTTATTGTGTGTCCATGTCCTCCGGTCCACACACTAAAATGCTTTGTAATTGCAAACAATTTGATATTAAGTACGATTTCTAATTGTGCGAATGATTGCTTTTCATTGGAAGGAAAAACGACACTGGCAATGGAAGTCAAAATTAAGTTACACTGGTGAGGAGGCTATTTGAGAAACAATTTATGCTTTAATTTAACAAAATTTATAACTATATTTCGGCCTCTGGGCGAATGTAAAGCCATTGCAGTGCCAGCACAACACTCATCAAATTGATTAGGAAATTAATTAGCCAATGGCCAAGTGATAAATATGCATCGGCCAGGACAGCTCCGGCCGGCCGGCCCGGACCAAGCCCCGTGGCTAATCAAATGCGTATACAATAAACCAAAAACCCTCGCTGGCTGGCGACCATATAATTAATTAAACTTTTATCGCCAGTGGGCGAGCACTGGGGGTGGGGCATTTAATTTGCTTTAATAGCAAATCCTTGTACTTTATATGTGCTCCAAGGACAGTGGGAGACGAGAAACCGAAATCTTTTAATGCCGCACACAAAATGGCAGCCGCAAAACGACAAAACTAAAATATCACTCATACGCCACCGACCTCACCCGGCACCGGCACCGGCTCCCGAGCTCCCATGTTTGGTCTTGGCCTAGAGCAGATTTATGCGCGTCCTGCATTCCATCTCCGATCCCGTATCCTTCAGAGGAGATGTCCTTCGCCCAGCTCCTAATCTAAATCTGCATGTCAACTCGAAGACCGCATAAATCACAAAATAATCCCAAAGTAAAA